ATAATTGATTTAAAAAACGATGTATAATGCTTCGCGTTGAACGATAATGTGAAACACAGGCACGGAGGCGTGATAATGACAAGCGATAAACCGGCGATAGTAAACAAAGTAACCGTAATAATGGTAATTTGTGTTTGATATGTATCAGACGGCGAACGCTGTCAGATGAATGCAAATTCCGCGGAGTTTCTGAGAATTTTTGAAATTTTAATACAGATCCATTGTATTTACAGTACCAGCTTTAGCGACGATTGTATTTTTATGTAGCGGAACGATTATTCTGCTCTTAACAGAAATTTCAATCCAAGGGCACCAAATTTGAAACAATTTGGTTGTTTATTATTCTCAAGCGATAATTCTTCGTGTCAACGTTCAATTACAATGAGTCGAATAGAAAAAAAAAAAAAAATATACGCCCTTTCTGTTAAAATTTTTACCACCATCAAAGTAATGTATTAAATCTCTGCTTCTCTTGCATAATTGAATTATTGTTATTAGTCGCAGTAAGCGACTGAAGAGAAATTCTACATATCGATTGGTAAATTATTGAGTATAATTTGACTGTGTTGTACTATTCATCTGTGAACACTGCAATTACCGCGTCTTCTAAAGTGAGAATTTCAGCTGAGTTTTATGTTTTTGCAACTACTGCACGAAATATTTTTGGCAAAATTATTCCTGAGTTTTACACATGTGGAAAAGACAAATATAAAATTTTATTCATACTCACATAGTGGAAACTATTCTTTGCTCCTTGTAACATTCCTTTGTTATAGCACACATCGCTATATATATATATTCTTTAATGTCTTTTAAATTCGATAAAATTACAAAAGAGAAATTAGTCGATTGTCGTTATATAATTCGAGCCATTTAGAACTCAGACTAATTAATTCCATCGACGTTGATCGCTCAGGTCAAGGTATTTAACAAAGTAATCATGAAGTCTGACGCGAAATAAAAGAATTTTCAGAATTCAAACGCGGAGTCAATTAATTTGACATTTTGGTCTTTGTTTCTTTTTCAATCGACGCCCATTGAAAGTAGACGTATCCAATAAAAAAATTCAAGCATCACAGCTGGCAATAAAGACACACGTGTCTCATTTCACGAGAATACGCAAATTATAAATAATTGATTACGATGATTAAATTGTACAATGCACTTGATTGTTTCATACTTGATCAAGGATAACAAGGATAAGCTCTATCGACTGATTCTTCAACAATCCTTTCCAACAGAGATTTTCAACCAAGATAGATAATTATGGAGAGTCGTCCAAGCTGAAGATAGTCGTGAAGTTTTTACACTCGATTAGTTTGAGAAACAGATGTAAATGGAAAAAATCGAATTTCCAAGGAGTATAAAGCTCGATCATCGAAGTGATTTTAAGATAGACACCTGCTTCCAGGAATACAGGCACTTGATAATTGCATCGAGAACAATGTGCAACACGGGCGTAGAATTTTTCAACAAATATTTTAATCGAAAGGAAGAATTATATTATGAAGAATTATATTATTTCTTATTAGTTAATGAAGGTATATAAATCTAAGGGAATTGATTCCATTTATAAACGAGTCATAGACAGGTCGTCAAGTGTTTCAAATCATCTCTTCTCCCTCCGAAAAGTAAAGTAAATTAAACGTATGAAGCTTCGCGCGATTTTTTTTCTCATTTAAATATGTTTCAACATGTTTCGAGACATTAAGAGTTTGCATCGAATGCATCTTATCTTTCCTTGCCTCTTCGGGAATGGGGATCGTCTGTCAAAGGCAATTTTCATCAGCTCGTTAATACGATTTTACAACGCATCTCCGCAGCAATATGTATTTCCACGCATTCTATATACTCCTCTGTTCCGATCGCGCATTCTCTCATTCAACTGCCGAGTAAGGATGACACTCGATGTGGGTTTTCCCACTAGATATTCGCCATGTGTCCACGAGATTGTCGCCTCCGATTGCCAATGACGCGGCAAAAATCTTTCACGATATAGCACATACGTATCGATACTTAATGCGACCTACGTGTGACAAAGGACACATCAATCGTCTTTCGTTTTATCGTGTCAACGGAAGGACGACGCGACATATTCGTTGAATGATAGAACGAGCTTGGATCAATGCCAGTTGCTTTCACAGTCGTTTGATGATGATTGTGCGATTGATGTTGAACACGTTGAGTGTAGTAAATATTTCACAGCAATTAGTATCCTTACTAAATGTTTATGTAGGACGCTTGCAAGTACTGAATTCTTCGTGAAGATTATCCTATTTTTTTTTTTTTTTTTTACGCAACTTCCGACGATTTTATTAGAGAAAGAGAATAACAAAAACGGAACAATGAATCGAAATATTCCATTCAGCAAGTTTTTGCGTCGATAATACGTATCTTAACCTTAGATTTTTTTTTTATTTTTTATTTATGGTACTTAGATCATTAGTGAGAAACATGTGAGATAACGTATGCAAAATAGGAAATTTGCACGATTATTTCCGTACCACAATGGAACGATAACGTTATTAACAAATTAATTGCAGCATATCGTCACAGGAATACGATTAGTTAAAAATGAAACCGACCAGTTTCTTTTTTATCAGCTAACATCCCCAACTGACGATAATGTTTTTTTAATTAGCATCTTTTCCTTTCGTGGTGAACACATGAATTTTATTTGCATAGGCTCATAGAGAGAAAGAGGCGCGCGTGGATGTGAAACGAGTTTTTCGAATGAGTGCGTACTTATGATTCAGAATCTAGTTTATCGAGTATTCTTATTTTCCTTTTTTACTCGTCTTATTAATTAATTTTCATCGAATATCTTTCGTTGCCCTTCCGTTTTTTTTTTTTTTTTTTTTTTTTTTTTTGAGAAAGCATAGTTGAATAAAATTCTCCGAGTGTCAGTGACATTTGTAAACGAATTTTAAATTAAAATCAATACATTGGTAGTGAAGCAATCGTTGACTTCTTGATCAATATTGGCACAGGTGTTTCGTTTGATAAATACAAATATACTTTAAACAAACACAAGTATCGAATGTAAGAAAGTAATTACTTTTTCTTCCATCGTTGCGTTTATCGAATCATAAAGTTTCACTAGAAAGAAAAAGTGAATTACAGTTGACCTGAGTATCCAATAGATTAATTACATACATATATATATATATATAT